ATGATTGGGATAAAGGTATCCCATTTATATTGTTTGCTATTAGAGATGCTTCAAATGAACCGACTCACTTCACTCCATTTGAATTGATATTCAGACATGGAGTAAGAGGGCCTTTAAAATTAATTAAGAAAAAGTTGATAGGTCCGAAGTCAGAGATCTCACATTTGGATTATATATCTGAGGTGAGAGAAAGATTAAACCGAGTCGGTCAATTATCTAGATAACATTTGAAGGGGGCATAGCACATAATGAAGCAAGAAGCTGATAAGAAATCTAAAATTTGTACATTTGCACATGGGGATAAAATATTAGTGCTGTTACCAGTGGTAGGCGATCCCTTCAAAGCAAGGTTTAGTGGTTCCTCTCAGATTGAGAAGAAGTTAAGTCAGGTGAATTATCTGGTACAGATGCCAGACAGGAAAACAAATTATCAAATATGTCATGTGAACATGCTACAACCTTACTATGACAGGGAAAGAGAACGAACGAAACAGGTATTAGTTACTGCTGCTCAGAGTGAGGAATTATTTCCAGATGATGCAGATTTTGACAGGCCTCAGAATAAATTGAATAACGAGGAAGTCTTTAGATAGGGAAATGAGATATCTATCTCAGAAACGGAGAACTGAATTGAAAGACTTGTTGCAGCACTATATAGAAATAGAATGGAGATGGCTAATAGCATAGTACATGAGGTTGATGTAAGGAATGCTGTTCTGATAAGGCAACACCCCTACAGGCTGAATCCTCAAAGCAGCACAGGTACAGAAAGAAGTGGAAGTGATGCTCCAAGAAAACATCATTGAGCCAAATCAAAGCTAGTGGAATTCGCCGGTCATGTTGGTTCCTAAACCTGATAATCTACGCTGAATCGTTGCGTACCATCAGAAGGTCAATGCCATGACCAAATCTGATTTATACCCAATTCCAAGGCTGGAGGACTGTGTTGAAAAAGTTGGACAAACCACTTACATCACAAAGTTGGACTTCATGGTTGCTGGCAAGTACCTTTTGTCAGAAAGAGCAAAAGAAGTTTCTGCTTTTGTAACTCCAAATGGACTATATCAATTTAAAGTAATGCTCTTTTGGAAGGAAGAATGCACCAGCCACTTTTTGAAGACTTATGAACAGAGTTGAGGCAGGATTGACTAATTGTGCCGTCGATATAGATGACTTAATGATCTTTAGCCATTCATGGACCGATCACATGGTGCATTTGGCAGAGCTCTTTGAGAGAGTATAGAAGGTAAAGTTGGTCATAAATTTGGCAAAAACAGAATTTGCAAAGGCAGAAGTGATGTTCTTAGGACACAACATCAGACATGAACAGATGACACCAAAGAATGTGAAGTCGAAGGCCATCGAGGAATTTCCAAGATCATCCTCAAAGAAAGAGGTGCTACAGTTTTCAGAAGTGAGTGGATTCTACGTTCTAAATTCTGACGGATTTGTTGAAGAAGAACATGAAATTTCAGTGGTCAGACCGATGCCAGTGGCATTTGAGAGTTTAAAAACAGTGTTAATCACTGCACCAGTTTTAGCCACGCCCAAATTTCTTGAAACCCTTTAAAATCACCATCAACGCAAGCGATGTAGGGGTTGGAGCTGTATTGTTACAGGAGAATGGTTGTGGAATTGAAAGGCCAATCGGTTATTTTTCAAAGAAACTCAGTATCCACTAGAAAAAAAAATTCAACCATTGAAAAAGAGTTAGAGTTTGGTACTGGCCTTACATTGTTTGCAACATAAACATTAAAATGTTGTTTCAGAGACAGTTGTGTGCACTGACCGCAACGCTTTGACATTTTTGAAAAGATTTGAAGTCAAGAGCACCAGACTATTTTGTTGGAGTCTTGTGTTACAAGCACTTAATTTACAGATTATGCGTGTTGCGGGACGTGAAAATGTTAGTGTTATCAAGGGTTTAAAAGGAAAATGTGAATAGAAGATAGAAACGGTAATGTTCAATGTGTTTTATATATGTAGAATTGGTATGAAATGCGTAACTCTAGATTAATTACCTATGTATCTAGTAATAATGGCATTAGATTTACAAAAAACAATGAAGCCATTTTTTTCATCATGATAGTTTTTTTTTAAGTGTGAAGGTATTGTGAAGTTGGGAGAGTATTTGTGGATTGGAAGGTAGGATATTAGAATGTGATGTTTGTAAAATGATAGGGGGAATAGTGTGTGGTCCCTTTAAAAGATTATTTTTTGGGGTGGAGATTTTTTTAAAAATTACATGCAGGTGCACAAGAGAGCTCCTGAAATTGAAACATTGTATCAAAAGGTTGTGTGGTTAACAACCCAGGCTGTAGTTTGTTTTGTTAGTAACGCAACCAGTTTGAGTATCAGCCAATTAGTTTAAACCAGGCACTTAGACTAAAGAATATTAAATTTAAATCTGATGGTTTTGACAACCTAGGAACAATCCTATTGTAAGGAATTAATAGGTTATCAAGGGTGTAAAAGAGGGCATTTGAAAATTGGTGTGAGAGCAACTGCCATCCAATAGAGTTAACAACCCATCAGCTCTAAAGAGAAAATCCCTGGCTCTGTCAGAATTCTCTAAACTCTCAGAGTAACTATCATCGAACTAAAGGTATAGCTGCAGTCATTAGCTAATATTCCTGACACAAGAATTCAACAGAGAAAGGCGTTCCAGACTGAGGATCAGCAGAGAGGGCGCAGAGCATTCCGGAAGATGTATCCTGGCTGTAATTTAGAGAGATTTAAGGTTTTTTAAATATTTTGGTTTATATAAGTATTACATAAGTATTCTACTAGAACAGCATACCATTAGCATTTTGCTTTATTTGGGAATCGTTAGTAGTTAAGGGGGAATTGTTTGGTTTGTTGGCAGTTCTGTTAATTTGTTCACTGTTAGTGAGAAAAATAAATTGTTACTTGTTGGTTATAGAGTGAGTGAAAGGATTTTGTTTCATTTAATCACTCCTATATAGCAGATTGAGGTGGTGGGGCGGGGAGGCGGGTTATGCCACCTTGCACACTTCCTTTAACAGATTGAGTCAAGCTTCTCTGTGTTTTGGTTTTAGTTATGGGGGTGGTGGTGTGGGGGTTGCTGGGGTTGGGGTGGTTGACCTCCGCTTCATAACACAGATCCCCCCCCCACATCCTGTTAAACTCAAGTCCTAACATGACCAGCCCTTCATCGCGGGATCATTCTTGTAAACCTCCGCTAGACCCCTTCCAAGACCAGCACATTCTTCCTTAGTTACGGGGCCCAAAATCAATTTCAATATTCCAAACACGGTCTGACCAGAGCCTTATATAGCTTCAGCAGTACATCTCTGCTTTTGTATTCTAGTCCCCTCGAAATGAATGCTAATGTTGCACCAGGGACCAAGTTTTGAGGAAATTCTCAGGAAAAACTAATCTGCATAGTTTTGCATGTGTCCACATGAATATCTGACCCACGTGTCTTTGATGGGTTTTTTTATTCTCCTCTGTTTTGCACTGCTCGGGTTCATAGTGAATTTTGTGAGTTGCAAGAGTACATAAGGGTGAGAGTTTGGATCGGATTAGAAAGCCCAGTTCAGTTCTCCAACACAGTGTGGCTTCTAAAATCCTCCCTAAACATTATTGCCTTAATCATCTCCATTCCATTCAGTGCCCACCCCAGTTTCCCCATGCCAGTGCCATGCTAGCCCCTGCATTTATCATCATTTGCCCTGCGTGCACTATATATAATTCTCAGAAGTCCTGCAGTAGAGTTGGGAACTATTTCAAAGTCATTGGGGGGGAAAATTAAATCTCCTAACAACCTTTTTCAAAAAACTGATTTTTAAATTCATTTTCATTGACATTGAAGTCAAAAACCCAAGCGAACAAAGTTGTAATCTCTTAAAGTGCCAGTTAGATTTTTAAACAAGCAAAAAACCCTATCATTGATATTTCCTTTTTTTAATGTAGGTTCACAACATTTTCAGTTGTTCTTGGATTTGTAAGTCTACCTGTGAAGCTGAAGCTTTTGAAACCTGGCCAAATATTCACAATAGAACAGCTGAGGTAACGAAAGCTTCCAGCTCCCCTCTCAACAGATTTTCATCTCAAAGCAGAGTAACTGCCTATTATTGGAGGGGGTGAGGCTCAGACCTCTGCCCAATCTTCAAAGGAAGGGGTTAAAGAAGAAATCAGCCTGATTTTCTAGTCCAATTAAATCAGAAAAACATGACAGTAGAGGGTACGTTTTTACATTTCTTAATACACTACGGTATTAACCATTGCACCAGTTTTAGCCACGCCCAAATGTAAACATAAGGGTTTCCTTGTCTTTGTAACCTTCTTACAAATTACAGTGTGAAAAGCATTTCTTCACTGCCACTATTAGCAGCAATACTGTAATGAAGGTCTCAAAGTATTTTACACTTGTCTTTGAGAAGGTTTCCTGTCCCTCGGTAGGCTTTCCATTTTCTTCACAAACTATCAAACCTGGCGTACTTTAATTTGCTTCTAAAAATCTTGACCAGTGGACAAAAATATGGGTGTAGGAGGAAATTCTGATTTTCGCCCCTGTTTAAAATGGGGCATCTGACCTCAGCAGGGGGTGGCATGCCTTTTGCACACTAGGTGTTCCCAACCTATAAACAAGCTCAAGGAAAATAATGCCGAGTAAGGAAAATCAGATTTCCTCTGAAACAAAATCAAAATGTAGCCATTTTTCACACCAATACATGACTCTGCACCCAGATAGAAAAATTGTTCATATCTCTAGTTAGAACACATCTATTTGTGTTACTGGGGTGCTGCCACCGTTCTCAATTGTTCATTACATGGGAAGGTTTATCTACACACAAGTACCATCAATCTTGTAAACTTCTTGCAGTGTCTACAGCAATTCCTACAGGTGACACTAACCTGCCCTCTTCATGAAAGGCAGATTTGAGGCAATCTGAGAAGTGTTTGCTGAAACAAGGGGAAAGGCAACCTGAAATTTTCTTCATAACCCAACTACAACTTATGACTTGTTTAATCAGGTCAAGGAACTACAACTTGATTTATCTGAAGCCAAGGAGACTATCCGAGGACTGCAAGAACAGCTTGTTCAGGAAAGAGAGCTTCGAAATGAAGACGCAATGAGATTTCAACAGAAAATGTCACAGGTCAGTTGAAAAACACAATTGATCATTTCACGTAGAATTTTGAGTTTTAAATTGAGACTCAAAAATGTTATAGAAAAGTAATTTTAAATGTCGCTATCTGAAAATTGCACCTGCTCATTCTAGAGGAGTTGGTAAATAATTTTACTGAATTTCTCATGAGTATCCGACATTGAACCAAACAATGTGGGAAAAATCCTACTCGGACAAAACATCAGCACACTTTTACTCATTAGTTTCAATGTGGCGTTACTTTAAAAGGTGGCTGTTGGTTAGTTCAATTGGCTGGAAAGCAGGTTTGGAGTGCAGAGTGATGCCAACAGAATGGGTTGAGGTTACGGTGAAAGTTGGATTGAAATTACTGGCTGCAGTTACCACGAAGGACTCTCCTTTACAACCTCTCCCTTCACTTGAGGTATGGTATCTCTCAGGTTAAACTCCGTCAGCTGTCTCTTGAGTGAGAGAGTAGCCATATGGCCTGGTAGGACTATGGCAAACTTACTTATAAAGGTCTTTACTTGAGAATTAGACAGTGGCACAAATCCAAAATCATACTGCAGGGCATTTTGCTGGACAGTTCTACAGCACAGAGACAAATATCTCCACCTCTTTGAGTGTTCATGTTAAATGTTTTTGTCAGCTGTAAATGCTGTAGGCTAAATAGTAAACCTAACAAATATGTGCTTGTTTAAAATGTATTTTGTTTCTCGGGAGCATCGGAGACTGAGGGGGGACCTTATAGAGGTTTATAAAATCATGAGGGGCGTGGATAGCATGAATAGACAAGGTCTTTTCCCGGGTTGTGGGACCTAACGGGGGACATTCTCATGCAGAGGGTGGTGCGTGTATGGAATGAGCTGCCAGTGGACGTGGTAGAGTCTGGAACAATTACAACATTTAAAAGGCATCCGGATGGGTATATGAATAGGAAGGGTTTAGAGGTATATGGCTAAACGCTGAAAAATGGGACTAGATTAATTTAGGATATCTGGTCAGCACGGACGAGTTGAACCAAAAAGTCTGTTTCCATGCTGTACAGCTCTATGACTCTAAAATATCTATTTTTGTCTGCCTTTTCTTCATTCCCTTACACCACTGGCTACCAATATTGGTTACCGTATTTTGTGTCACTGTGTTCTCCACCTGCCTGTCTCTGTCTCTTTCATCTGAGTGACAAAACTAGACATTTAGTTGAAGCAAATAGTTCATATATCACCATTGTTTCATTGTAAACTTGGCTTTTTAGAGGCAGTTGAAGACTCACCAAATCAAAGATCCGAGCAGTTTAATTTCTTTTGCTAGGTACTAAGGGCAAGAGTACTGCTGAACCCTACCTTCACCAATAATGCTCCCCCAATGAATGGAATAGCCACCCTTTTGACCACGTGAGAAATACAGAAAACATGTGATAAGCTAGAGTAAAATACTGGACAAATCTGCTTCAATTCAGTTCTGTTATTGTGAAATGTTTCGTTTAGCAAGCTGGGCTTTTATTGATAGACTCATTCCTGTAGAAAATGGAATTCAGTTGCTTGGTCTGTCCAATACTGTTTAAAAACAGAGATTGTAAAAATTGATATGGATAACTAGCCGATTTAGCTAATATTTCCAGAGAAATGAGTGTGTAAGCTTCCAGCTTTTTATCTTTTTTTTTTAAAAACCTTGCTTAGTAATTTTGGTTGACTTAGAGGCTTATAAGATAATCACATGTCTGTCTTGATTTAAAACAAAAACTGAGCTTTGCAAACCTCCTTTCTTAAAGGAATTTGGGTAAATACTTCAAAATGAAATTTTGGAGGGTAGAGGATTGGTTCTATTTTGGTATCTCATTCACAATCCAACGTAGGTGTGCTGGGCTAATTGGCTACTATGCTGTGTATTTTTAAGAAAGAGAGACATACAATAGGAACAAGGAGAGCAAAAAACAGAAGCCCTATGGGAATATAGGAAATGTGGGTGAACTCAAGAAAGCAATTAGGAGAGCAAAGAGGAAACATGGGAAAACACTGATGGACAAGATTAGGGAGAATCCCAAGATATTCTACAAGTTTATCAAGGGGAAGGGTATAACCAGGGAAAGAGTACAGCCTATTATGGACCAAGGAGGCAATGTGTGTGAGAAGCCAGAGGACATTGGTCGGGTGTTAAATGACTACTTCACATCTGTCTTTACTTGGGAGAAGGTGGATGCAAGTGCAGAATTTGAGAAGATAGACCGTGAAGTTCTTGAGCAAATTGACATAAGAAGTGAGGAGATGTTGGAGGTTCTGGCAGAATTAAGAGTTGACAAACTCCCAGCTCCAGATGAGTTGTAACCCAGGCTGCTGTGGGAGACAATGAAGGAAATGACAGGGGCCCTGAACCAAATTTTTAAATACTCCTAAGCCACAAGGGAAGTGCCTGAGGACTGCTCATGTAGATCCCACTTCGCAAGAAGGTGGTAGAGATATCTTTTGAGGAGGTGACCAAGTGACTAAGGTAAGGGTGAATGACAAGAGACAGAGGGTGGTGGTAGAAGGCTGATTATGAAACTGGAACCTGGTGTGCAATGGAGTACCACAGGGCTCAATGCTGAGACCCTTACTGTTTATGATATTCATAAATGACGTAGATGAGAATGTGGTGGCTGGATGTCACAGATCGGCAAGGTGATTGACAAGGAGGAGGAAGATGTTGGGTTACAGGAGGATATGAATGGATGAGTCAGATGAACCGATCAGTGGCTGATGGAATTTAAACCTGATGAATGTGGTGATGTGCTTCGGAAGAAGGAACAAGTGAAAGGGGTATTCAATCACTGGTGAAGCACTTAGGAGCTCAGAGGGATAGAAGGATCTTGAGGTGCTTGGCCCTGAAGGTGGCAGGACAGGTTAATAGGTTAGTTGAGAAAGCATAGGAGGGTCATGTTGGCACTGCACAGAACTTTGGTTAGGCCACAGCTGGAGTACTGTGTGTAGTTCTAGTCACTGCACTATTGGAAGGATGTGATTGCACTGGAGGTGGTGCAAAGGAGATTCAACAAGATGATGCCTGGGATGGAGCATTTCAGCTATGAAGAGAGGCTGAATGAGCTTGGACTTTTTTTTTTTTTGGAGCAGAGAAGGTTGAGGGGTGACCTGAATGAGGTGTATAAGACTTTGAGGGGCATGGACAGGGTGAACAGAAAGCAGTTGATCCCTTGGGTTGAAGGATCAATAACAAGGGAGTGTAATTTTAAAGTGAAAGGTTTTGAGAAGATTTAAGGAAAAAAACTTTTCCAGAGGTTGGTGGGAGTCTGGAATGCACTGCCTGCGAGGGTATTTTGAGGTGGGAAACTTCTCAGCCTTTTAAAAAGTACTTGGTTGAGTACCTAAAGGGTCACAGCATTCAAGACTACGGGATAGTGGGACTAGTATAGGTAGTAAGAGATAGTAGGAACTGCTGATGCTGGAGAATCTGAGATATCAAGGTGTAGAGCTAGATGAACACAGCAGGCCAAGCAGCATCAGAGGAGCAGGAAAGCTGACGTTTCAGGCCTAGACC